TAACTTTCCAGAGGTGTAATTTTCTTTGCAATTTGATACTTTTATCTTAAACTTTAAACCAGAGTAGAAAGTCGAATACGTCTGCATATCTATGTATTTGTTTCGCGTAAGTATGGTCACTCACTTTTCATTTATATGTAAACACTCTTAGAAAACTGGTATTAAATCATTACTGACCGGCGTATGGACGCCTTTTTTTAACGTCAACGTGCTCGCTCCGAAGCTCTTTTGGGTTCATGGAAAGTTGAAAACGAGGAGTATGTCCCAATTTTGGAAATTGCAACACAGAATTGAAATTGAAAAGACGTTACTGTTAATTTGTAATGAAACAACATAAATAAAATGGGACGATATCACATGCTTTCTCCTGTAAGGAAAGCATCGCAATGCCGACATCTTATCGTAATTGGTGTGTAGTGAGGAAATGCGGTCGAGTTTCGACTGCCGAGATAACATCTCACGTAACAAGAACTGACCAGTTTCATTTCATAAGTCGTTTATTTCTGACCCTTTGTTGTTCCTCGTGATTCACGACAATATCAATTAGTCGGGGATTAAATGCTGGGTGGCTTTTGTGGTAAAGTATACTATTTTACTTTCTCTCCACCCTTTTCTCTCTGCATATTGTGTATCCGCGATGAGGTTAGAGTCATGCATGTACGGACACGAGTTTATTTTCATAACTCATAACTCGAAAACTTTTGAGAATTAATTTGTTTCGTGTCAATATTTTCTTGGCGGGCGAGCCTGTCAATTAACTCAATTGGTTCAAATGGATTAAAGCGATTTACGCAGTTATTTCATTGGTAGCTTTATAAAATTGGCAAATTTTGTAAAATATTATTGCAGACTTACAGGATAAAGAGATTCCCTTGATCTGAGAAAGTTTACAAAAATTTGTGTGCTAGTTTTCCTTTGAAATATTTGTGAAACTTTACAAGTTTGTAAATTTGGCGCATTTTACAAAGTTATCAAAGACTGCGTGAATTGCCTCGATGTCATTTATTTATTTCTAACTACTTACTCAAGCTTAAAAATGATTGCCATTTTAGAAAAGTATCAGAAAAAATAAAATCGTGAAAAACCGAGGGTCATGTGCTCCAACGAGTGCAACGTCACAATTGGAATTTATTGCTTGAGAAATAAATCTCTACGCACCGTGAGCCCTGTTCACCTGTCAACTTGGTCGGTGAACTTAAAACCATGCTCACAACCTATGCTTACTTTCTCCGCCTGTCTTCCGGATTCGTAAGTGGCAGCATTTGTTCGTATATGTTTATTCATATATCTCAATTTAAGGATTACTTTCGAAAAAAATGGGTGCCCCTGTCGTTATTTTTAGTGAATTGAATCGCAACGATTACTGGATAATCGACAGTTTTTTTCATAAAATTTAGTTCGGAGTTAAGAGTCGTAACCTATTATTGAGGCGATTCACGCAGTTATTGGTAACTTCGCAAAATCTGCGCGTTTTTGTAAAATAATTTTACAAGTTTGTACATAATAATAATTTTAATAATAATAATTATTATTTTAATAATAATAATAATTTTACAAAATAAGAAGACGTCCTTGGTCTAAGTAAGTTTCTTTAGAAATATTTCTAAAATATTTTAAACAAAGGAAGTTTTTAGAAAATTTACGAAGTTTACAATGTTACCAAAGTCAACATTAATTACCTCAGTATGTGCCCTTCTTTCTGTGCTCAGGATGAAAATTTTACTTTTGTTACGAGTAAAAGCAATAATTTGGTTTACAAAAAAACGAGTTGTTTCTAAAATATATATTATATATTTTTTAATATTTGCCTATTTTGGGTTATATTTTCTTATGAAAGAAATTTATCGTGTGTAGACACGTATTTAATCTTCCCGGAATGTTGAGTAGAGTGTACGGAATACGTACCCAAATTAGCATTTTTAATTTGTAAAAATGAATTGGAACTATTTTTGTATAGATAAAAATGCATAAGTAAAACTTCAAAATGTAAAAAAATAAGAATTTGATAAAAATATGAAATCATATAGGTCACTGCATCCTAATGAACAGTTGTATGGGCTATAACCTTTCTGCCCAAAAAGTCCTGTTTTGATAGGAATCGAGCGTGCACGCGCTCTTCCCAACTTTTGCACGAAATTTTAAACTTTGTCCAAGAGATGCAAAATTTGGCATGCACATGCACCAACATATGCTACATCATAATATAACATCAATTCCCGTTCCGTTCGCTATAAATTTTTCAGGAAAATTCAAAAACCAAATTGAATACGGGTGACATTTTGGACATTTTGGGACTTTTTGGGCAGAAAGGTTATAGCCCATACAACTGTAGATCCTGCTCAACCGGCAAAGCGATAATGTAAATGTGACAAAAATTCCAGGATTTAGTCTCCATGTTTTGTATGGCTATTTTTTCAGTTCCTCGGATCCGCGATTAAATTGGGCGAATACACGGAGTTGTTATATTATTTAACACTAGTTGAGCACTCGAGTTAAGATTTCGACTATTATGGCTAGCATGCAACCTCGACCAAAATTTGACTCCGGCGATCGTATCCCCTCCATACTAATAGTAATGGAAACACTCAAAATAAGGTCGTAATGAATCATTACCATGCGGAATCACTATGTGTCTCTACCACGTCGGTTACGATTTGTCGTAGAAATGGTAATAATAAGTTCAGGGAAATTCTAATTTAATACATAATTGTATTCACTTCCTTAATATTTGGTAATGAATTTGAATTTCCCTGAACTTATTATTACCATTTCTACGACAAATCTTAACCGACGTGGTAGAGCCACATAGTGATTCCGCATGGTAATGATTCATTACTACCTTATTTTGAGTGAAGGATACGAGCACGTGATGGTCGAGGTTGTACGCTGACAGTTTTATATGTAGAATGTAGTTAGTACATAGCATGTCTAACCTTGTGGATTTCAGGTAACTATGTACCCCTTATCCATTGGAGTTTGAGCCATGGCTAAATATTGAGGGTTTCTTATGGAGCTAGATTTAGCCATGTCTCAAACTTACGTCGATGAACAGTACTGTTGACTTTGTTGCTACTTTTACCTCCCGCCGGCAATGTTTGCAGTCACGTGATGGTCGTGCAGAAAGATCATTATGCAGCATCCATCACGTTAAAACCCACTTTTTACAAGTACCAAGAATTTGCACACTAAAATTCATGATAAGATATGCAAATAATTTTGCAATCATTTTAAGACCCAAAAATTTTCATAGGCAAACACAACATGTCATGACCAAACAATAGAACAGTATCTGTATTGCTCAATTTCTTAAGGTATTTCAGTTTTCTTGCTAAACAGAGTTTAAGTTACACTAACCAAAATTTCGGAAAACCCAAATTTACCACACTCATAAATATTTCATGCTAAATATATCGTGACAGATTTGAGTTTTGGAGATATTCATAACTTTTACCTACCGTTTTGTGGTAAATAGTTACTGACGTGGTGAGGCTTTATAATAACTTCTTGGTGACAATTTATTTTCCAACTTATTTTTAGAATAGCTAACTGGGTGTTTATGTCACTAATTAAATCATTTTGAAAAAATACCCACAGCTTGTGTGAATTTATAACATTTATTAACGTAGCAGAAACAGTAAGCAAACAGAAAACAGAAAACGAAGTAACGAACGAACGAAGTAAACAGGGGTTTGAAACACATTAAAATCTCGGAGAAACTCAAATTGTTACATTTACATGAAAATATGTGTATTTTCGTGATACAACTAGCATGTTATTCTGGTTACGGATTTGAGTTTTGAAGACATTTTCAACTTTTACCATTTTGTGGTAAATCGTTACTGACAAGGTGAGGCTTTATGCTAATTTGGTGACAATTTCGTTACCAACTTGACTAACTGAATATTTGTATCATTCATTAAATCATTTTAAAGAAATACTTGTACAGAAATACAGTTTTTTAAATAAATTCACACAAACTGCATGTACAGTAGAAATATAGTTTGCTTTTTGTGAATTTATAACATTTATTAACGTAGCACTTTCCCATCTGACACTTATTTTCATATGGATCTGACATACTAATAAAAGTAAACAGAAAACATGGCTTCATTTCCAACCGAATTTCATCCAGAAATGCAAACTATCCAGAACTGACAAAAATTGAGACAAGAAACAACAACGGCAAATTAATATAATTACGTTCCATTTCAAATCAACATGTCACAATTAATATGCTTCAGCTCGCTATTTCATATCTCCATCTGCATTAATATATTTCTTACTCACAATGGAGGTTTCCCAGCGGATGCTCTCCGATTTTAACCAAATTAGTGTCAATCGATCACAAATTTAATTATTCTGAAATTTACAAATGACACGATCTCTCAATGGTCACGTTTGGCAGAAATATTTGCATCTGAAGAGGAAAATACGACCAGTAAATTTGGAATGTGTCAATTTTTTGGCACGTTTTCTCCTTTTTTCTCCGTCAAACCTGCGTAGAGGAGGATCGTGTCTTTTTCTAATTTCATATTAAATAAATTTGAGATCGACTGACATTAATTTGGTCAAAATCTAAGAACATACGCTGGGAGACTTCCCTTGTCAGTCAGTTTATTTTCTCTGAGTTGTTAATTTTGGATAGAAATCCTGTTCCATTTTCCTACTTTCGCATAACTTTATGTTCACCGCAGTTACATTTCTCGTCTCCGAGTTGATGAAAGCCGACAAAATCGAATGGATTCGTCCATTTAGGAAATAATGATAAATAGCCACGAGTCAAAGTGTCGCCAGTAAATCTCGTTTGATTAATGCGTCCTCTCCTCCATAAAGCTCACTTTATTTGTGGAAAATGTGTAAGCAAAAATTGTGACGTATTGAGAAAATTTCTGTATGAAACCATCGACTGATTCCATAAGATTTTGCAAAAGGTGAAAGTGGGATTCAAAATCATGGCCAAATTTTCTAAAATATAAAATACAAAGAAAATAAATACTTACATTTTTTAGAGATCCATTTCCATCATAATTTGTCCCCCATGTCTTTATACTAAAAATTATAAGATATCAAAGTCGCAAACTTTCTCCAAGCACAACACAACACGACACTTCAGTTACGACTGGAATATCTTTCTTCGTTAAAGACTGGCACTATTTCTTTATGAAGAACTTCATCAATATTCATTTATTTTCTTAAAATCTAGTCTCCACTGATTTGAACTTCCTGAGCACATTTGTTAGTCACGGAACTTATGAAATTTGTGCACTTCAAGAGTGTATAAAGTTCAATTAATTGTTGGCCCGAGGTTCCAAAATTACCTGAAAACAAGCAATAAGTAGAATCGTTAGTAACAACATTGTTAAATGCAGTTTCAAATTTTCTTCTAATTATAATGACGTAATTATTACTTTTATCATCAAAAACTGTAAAATATGTGCATGTGCATGTGCCTGTTCTAAATTCCTAGAATTCTAATTTCTAGAAATCTAAAACAATGGGTTTATTCAATTCAATGCTAAATTATGTTTTCGAAATAAAAATTGATAGTAAATTCCAAATTCCCAATTACATCATCTCTGATCAAAATATGTCCATTATTTAATCTTGAACTTGGTTTTGGAGGAGCATTACGAAAACAATAACCCAAACTGGCGTTCAATATATCAAAATAACGAAATTCTCAAAATATTGTAATTTTACTCGCAAAATTATCTCTAAAATTAAAATTGGCATAACATTTGTAAATAATATGAATATATTCAAAATATGTATTTGCAATTATGCTTAACGCCAGTTATTTTTCGTCTTCCTCCACTTCCTACATCACTGTGTAGTGGTCGAGATCACGGCGTGAGTGATCGACGTGCCACCTATGTTTTAAAGTTGAAAAAACGGGGTCTGTTGAGCTCCTGGCATAACCTGCAAGCGGTATTGTCTTTTTCATAGCAGTGCAGTGTGGACGTGTGCGCCGTGAGCTCCCAACTATTTTCATCATTTTTTAACCGAATTTCTGGATGTCGAAGAAGTTTTTTGGAACTCAAGCTTTCTACTGAATCAACAAGGTAAGAAATCTTTTCCTTTTGAGGGGTGGGTCATTTTCTACAGTATGAGAGAAGTTTTAAGTATCAAAATTAAAGAAAAGATAAAAGATAAATGTAAAATAAAGTAAAACCCGGAGCAACCTTGAATAGGTACGGGTACTGGTGCCTATACGGCCCATTTGTCGAGGTGTTCCTATACGGCCCTCACCAATTATAAATTCAGTTGTTTTGTCACAGAAATGACACAACCTAAGGGATCCTGGGATCTGGGGAACTTATCAGATGAATCTGATAATGAGGCAGACAATGTCGACATATTGAACAAGGAGTCAGACACTTTTGCAAATTTATTCAATGGAGGAAATGAAAAGGGTAAAATTTTGCTTAGCGCTCAGATACTTTATAAGCATGAGTTGTTTCTATAACTTATTCTAATCCTTATCATAATCCTTATTAGGATTTGATGTGGCTCCGCCTGATTTGGAAATTCAGGATTTGTTAAAGGATGTGGAAAAATCCATTGAATTTGGGCCAGAGATAATGAATGAAGTTGCTGAGGGGTTCAACAAAAGAATGACTCGCCCATTATCGAAAGAGACCTCTGTAAATTTAAGAAATAACTTCAAGATACCCATAAATTGCAAACCATTAATTATTCCAAAAATGAACCAAGAAATCTGGTCCCATCTGCCAACCCCGGCTAGATTAACAGATCTCAATATGCAACAAAACCAATATTCTCTTGGAATTGGACTCAATGCTTTGGCGCAGATTGCAAATCAAGTCGCAAAAAATGCAAATAACATTCCAAAGAGGTCAAGGTTTCAATTCTTAAACTGGCGATTGATGGCGGGAACATTTTGGGTGATCAAATCCAATCGATATCTAAAAAGAGGCGACTGGAAGTAAGGAAACATATTAACTCTGAATATCACGGAATATGTAGTTCCCAGGTATTATGGAAATAATTATTTAATTTTTTAAAAAAAAAACCTAAAAAATTCTCATGGTTTGTGTTATATGCCAAATTTTGTTATAAAAAGATTCCAGTATCGGAATATCTTTTTGGATCTGATCTGAATGAGACTCTAAAAGCTTCCAAAACTGCATCAAATGTTGTTCGGAAATCATTCATTCGGCCAGGTCAGGCTCAACGGTCGCAGCCCTATTTTAATCCACGGAATCCTTTAAACTTCAATCGCCCAAGGCTCTTCACTCCCCAGAGGCAACAGTTCAGGCAACAGAGGGGAGCAATGTTTCCGCGTCGACGCCCAAGCTGGCAGTCGAGCAATTATCCTCAACAGTCGAACCCCAATTTCCAGAGGAAGTAACGAATATGCATCATAATCAGGCAGGTCAACTCAAACATTATGTTAAGCAATGGGAAAGAATTACTAAAGATAAATTTGTATTAAGAGCTATTCAAGGATATGATATTCAATTTGAGTCTGAGCCACAACAATTCACCGAACCTAACAACCCTAAGATGGGTGCAGAAGAAACTAAATTTGTCGATGAAGCAATTCTAGAATTGATTTCAAATGGTGCAATTAGAGTTTCTGAAGAGGAGGTTGGTCAATTTATTTCTCCCGTTTTCACTGTCGCCAAATCAGATGGTGGACGTCGTTTTGTTTTAAATTTGAAGAAGTTAAATGATTTTATTTTTGCTCCACATTTTAAATTAGAAGATGTTAGAATGGCAACATCACTAGTTACAAACGGGTGTTACATGGAAGTAATTGATCAAAAGGATGCTTACTATATGATCCCAATTGCACTAGAATCTCAGAAATTTTTAAAATTCAGATGGAATGACGTTCTCTACGCATATACCTGCCTTTGCTTTGGATTGAATTTAGCCCCATGGCTCTATACAAAAATAATGAAACCAGTTCTTGCTTATCTACGATCCAACTTATTTTTAAATGTTAGTTATCTAGATGACTGTTGGATGATGGGAAATACTTTTGAGTCTTGCTTGGCGAACCTTAAATTCACAATCAAATTATTTGAAGCATTAGGCATTAAAATAAATTATAAGAAATCACAATTGGTTCCTTCTCAGCAAGTAAAGTTTTTAGGATTTATTATTAACTCAGTCGATATGAAATTAACCCTGCCATCAGCTAAAAAGGATAACCTTATGCAAAAAATCCGTAAATATCTATCGGTCAAGTCCAATACAATTCACGAGTTAGCGGAAATTATAGGAACTTTAATTTCAGTCTGTCCAGCTGTAAAATATGGTCAACTTTATACGAGGCAGTTGGAAATTGAGAAAACTGTAGCCTTAGAAAATTCAAATAATTCCTTTTCAGCCAAGGTATTTTTGTCTGATTTAGCTATTCATGACCTGAGGTGGTGGCTATTAAATATTCAGTCAGCTGAAAAAGGATTAAGGAAGGATTCATTTGATTTAGTGATTACAACCGACGCATCTCTCACTGGGTGGGGCGCGGAATGTAATGGCCGCACCACAAGAGGTTTTTGGTCACCATCAGAGAGGAAGCAGGATATTAATGAGTTAGAAATGTTAGCCTTATTTAACGGACTGAAATGTTTTTCAGACCAAAGTAAAGAAATTTTGTGTCGGAGTGATAACACCACGGCTATTTCATACATAAATAGGTTCGGCGGATGCAAGTCTCCCAAACTTCATGCTATCGCCAAATCTATATGGCAATGGTGCGAAAGAAGAAGTATGACTATTTTTGCATCATACATTAGTACGAAGGATAATTTCATTGCTGATGGTTTATCTAGACAACAACTTGACGAGTCTGATTTTATGCTTAGCAGAAATAATTTCAATTTAATTATAGCAAAATTAGGGAAACCAGATGTAGACTTATTTGCATCACCTTTGACACGACAGTGTGATCGCTTTGTATCATGGAAACCATCTCCCGAGTGTGAATGGGTAGATGCATTTACCGAACCATGGCGTTTAAACTTTTACGCTTTTCCACCATTTACTCTGATTCCTCGGGTTTTAAGTAAAATAAAAATGGAAAGGTGTGAGGGAATTGTTGTGGCTCCGTACTGGCCAACTCAAGCCTGGTTCCCTTTATTTAATGAGATGAAAATATCTGAAGTAATATTGATTACAAAGAATAGAAATGAATTATTTTCTCCTTATTTGAATAGGGAACACGGGTTGAGCTACAAAGTAACACCGATGGCCGCCAAATTATCAGGGAAGCATTAAAGAAATTACAACTTCCAGACTCGGTTGTTCATATTATAAAAAACTCATTATCGTTAAGCACATGGAAGCAGTATGAATCCTCAATTAAGAAATATGTTATTTTTTGTAATCAGCAGGGTTATGATCTGTGGAAGGTAGATATATCCCAATATTTATGTTTTTTGACATCTTTGTATGAATCTGGACTAGGTTATAATTCTATAAATACTTCTAGATCAGCATCTATCCACAATTTTTGGGTTAAACAGCAATATAAATATTGGCGAGCACAAGCTAGTAACCAAGTTCATGAAAGGTATTTATAAAGTAGAACCACCAACTTGTAAGTATAACGTCACGTGGGACCCTTCGTCGGTTTTAACGTTGATTTCCACTTGGGATAACAATAATATTAGTTTAGAAGATCTGAGTTTAAAACTTGTTTCCATTTTAGCTTTAGTTACTGCGCAGAGGGTGCAGACTTTAAAATCATTGAAAATTAGTAACATAATTTGGTCTAATCCTGTACAAATTAAATTAACTGATGTACTTAAAACTACCAACATACATAATCAGAATCCATTAATTATTTTACCTCCCTACCATGATTCAAGACTCTGTCCAGTAGCCTGTTTGAAAATGTACATAGATAAAACTAGAGATATTAGATTACAAAATTGTGAACAATTGTTCATTTCGTTTGTAAGGCCTCATGGGCCAATTACTTCGCAGACGATAAGTCGATGGCTCTGTAATGTACTTAAGTTAGCGAATATTAGTATTGAAGAGTTTGGGTCTCATAGTTATCGACATGCAGCAACATCGATGGTTGAGAAAAGAGGAGTAAATGTAGATATAATTATGAAAAGTGTTGGATGGTCTAATAAGTTTAGAACTTTTGCTACTTTTTATCACAAACCAATTGTTAATAATACTGCTTTGGCTAATGCTGTACTCAGTTGTATTCCATAAGTCTATTTAAAATAAATGTCATTTGAAATAACATACCGTTTGTGAACTCTTCCTCATCAACATTTACTTTAAACAACTACACAGTGATGTAAGAAGTGGAGGAAGACGAAAAATAATT